GGGAATCCTAGGTGCTGCAGTTCTTTTTTTTTGCTGGCTTTTTTGCGCACAGTTAGATCGCACCTTCTGTCGCCGCTGTGCAGTTCCTACGCTTTGCGAGCGACAGGTGGGCTTGATCGAGACCTGAAATTTTTTCGAGCCGCTGCTGTGGGGCCGGGGCGCAGCTGCTGAGCAACCACCGGAAGACGGAGGCTCAAGTTTGGCCACTGCGCGCCAGCCTCTGAAGCCGCCAGATGCAGCCGCGCCCGCTTGCTTCCGACTCGAGAAATCCTCGTCATCTCCACTTTGACTCGTTCATCGGCGTCTGGGCCAGGCACCTTTCTTTCTCCACCATCCCGTCGACCAGCTCTCCCACCATCCATCTCTGCTTCTGCTGCATCGTCACTTAGAAGCGCCCGCTTTCAGCACACTAGGCAGTTTATCGACCACTGCCCTCCATCTCTACATAGCTCTTCAACATGGTCCGTCTCGAAGAGGTTCCCGACGAGGAGATCCTGCGACAGCAGCGTGCATCGACTGCCGCCGCTGCCGCCGCCGACGACGATGACTGGGAGGAGGAAGACGACTCGGATGCCGAGGTGAGTTGACCCCGCAAATGGCCGCTCTTCTGCTTCTGATGGCTGCATCGATTCACTGACACTGGCGATTTGCTTTGGAACAGTCCGACTTCTCTGACGACTCGGAAGTTTCGGAGCGCGGCCTTGCGCTCAAGGAGGAGACGGTGTGGGAGCGCATCTCTGCGCTGCGCGACATTATTCCCCCTTCCACACGTCGCTCGATCGCATCCACATTCAACACCACCACATCCTACGCCTTCACCGGTGGGCTGCTGCTCGGCAAGCTCGGCTGGGTCGTCACCACCTCGGCGCTTCTCGTAGGCCTGCCCTTTGCACTCGCCGTCGAGGACGAGTCGAGGATCGTCGCGCAGGAGAAGGAGATGATGGCCCAGCAGCAAGGCGCCCAACACATGCTCGCCCCCGCAGGCGCACCCGGCGCACCGGCACAGGGCCAGCAAGCCGCCCAGTACCAGCCACAAGCACAGGCTCCCCAGGGCCTCCGTCCCCCCGGCTTTTAGGCTTTGATGTCTCGACCGATCCGTACTAAAATATTGCCGCAAGCGCCTGCCGGGGCGGCAATGATGTCCACATCAACCATCGGACGCCTGCAAAGCCAATTCGTTGCGGCGAGGAGCGCCTCGTCGTCTGTTTGTAATACTAGTCCACACACACACCACCACCACCACCACTGGGCCCACGCTGCTCCTTTCTCCTTCCTCGTTCCTCTTTTCTCGTCCCTTTCAGACCGAGCCAAATAGGCGTGTGGAAAGGCAGCAGCTCAAGCCATGTCTTTGCAATTCCGAACCATGCACAACGATCTACCTCTGCGAAACTGAATGCATCCGGGCCACGACTGTACGACGCATTCGGGTCAGAGTGCTGTGGTTGAAGATAGAGCGGATGGACGACAGTGCGACAGACAGTGCGGGCAAGTGTGGAATTTTGACGTGGTGAGGCGCCTCCGAAAAAACAAAGTGGAGCAAGACAGCACAGGCCACCAGCTATCTTCTTGGCCGTCATCTTTTGATCTTCCAAGTAGGGCGGCTAGCACCGGCGGGAGGTGACAAACATGACCTACTAGGTCGAGTGGGGGGAAGGATGCCGATGTGTATTCACTGTGCGACGCCGGTGGAGTCGCTGTACATGCGGTATGGCAAGGACCACATTGTGCTCACTCCCTGCATCTCGACCAGCTGCAATTCCGACCGGTCGGGTCTTCCCGTCTTGGCGGATGAGTATCTCGAACACCACATGACCGTGGTCGTACTCGACCTCATCCTTGCCAAACCAAAGGCGTATCGACATCTGCTCTACAATCGTGCCAGCATCCTCGCTCCACCCCGACCCGAACTTCGTCCTGCAAGTGGGAGTGGATTGGTGGAATTGGTCAAGCGCGGCTTGGCGTTGGCGCTGGTAGATGCGTATATCCGGTGGTTCTATCTGTGTGTTCAACCACCTCAACAACAACAAGGTGCAGAGGGAAGATGGACGACGTTGGCAGGGTATCTTCCCATCCATGCCGGCGTGTTCTTTCCAAGCCTATTCACCCCCACAACGCGTCCAGCCCGCGCGATCGAAGCCGTCTGCAATCCTTCTCCCTTCTGGATCCACCTGCATCCTGCAACCGACGATCCAATCTTACCCACACTCGTATCGTACACCAACGTCCTCCTCATCACCCTCATCGAGGCACTCGCTCTACACGCAACGGTCTCCCTCATCACCCTCTTGGCAATCCCCCAAATCCAACACACAAAACCTAAACGCTCCACCGATCCATGGCTAGCTTCAAAAGCCCTCTTGCTCTCCCAACTCTCCCCCCTCATCTTGCTCACTCTCGTCCTGCTCTGGTCAACCAAGTTCCCACACGCACATGCGACAGTCACCACTAACGATCGGTCCGCCCTCATCTGGCTCATTCGCACCTTCCTCGCCAGCCTCAATGCAGGCGTCGCAATCGCTACCGTCCTCCCACCCAACAAGCCCGCTTGGCCTCCACTCATCCTCACTGCAGGCTGGACAGCGCAGACGCTCACCAGCTACGCACTCTACACCGCACTCTCGTAGTGCCACACTACACCAGCCCTCGAATAGTCGGTCTTGTTGGACGCGTGCATTGTGTCTGTGTTGCTTGTCTGAAGTCTTGCACGCTTCGACGGTGCAGCCAAGCCAGGAGAAGCTACGCATCGGAAGCCAGGCCGCCACGATACGCCGACTGCATGGCGAGCCGCTTGACCTGGTCGAGCGAGATGGCGCCCTGGCGGTAGGCGAGCGTCTGGCCGTCTTCGCCCTGCACGTGGATGACGCCCTCGTCGCTCACAGCCACCGGCAGCGACTTGGAGTCGGTCGCCTCGTCCGTCCCGCCGGCATCGACACGCAGCGCATCGTCGTCGTCATCGTCGTCCTCCATGGCCGCATCCCTGCCGCGGTACGCAAAGCCGTCGGGGCCTTTGTATCCGAATCCGCCGTTCTGCAGGCGCGGCGAAGTGCCCGAGAACGTAGACGCGTTGGCCGAGGGCGGCGAACCCGTGTGCTGGAAGCTCATGCCTGGACTTGCGCTGAACGCGCTGAACTCGCTCACCACCTTGCGCGAGCCCGAGTTGGCCGCCGAAGACGTCGACGCGGAGCCACCGAACACGGTCGAGCTGCCACCGGCCGGCTTGGGGAACGGCACGTACGGCTTGTACGACGACGTGGCCCGGCGCGTCTGCAGGTACTTGTCGCTGAGGCGCGAGCCAGCGACACGCTTGATGTTGGGTTTGGCCGCGGCGAGGTCCGATGCGGTGGCCCACACCTGGATGTTGTGGCGCGACTCTTCCGTGTCGCGGTAGATGCTCTCGATGTGGAGCTGCTTGGTGCTCTCGTTGCGCAGCAAGAGGCGCTCGTGCAGCTCGCGCGCTACGTCGTCCATCGGGTTGCTCTGATTGCCCTCCAGGCTCAGCGACTGGATGCGTTCGGCGATGGCATCGCCAATCTCGCGGTGCAGCCGCTCGAGGTCCATCGCCTCGCCCGCGATGCCGAGAATCACGTGACTCAGCAGACTGGCCGTAGTGAGCGGCACCAGCATCGCGCCCGTGATCTGGACGAGGCCCTGGTAGAAGTCGGCAGCATGCTGGTAGCCGGAAAGCGCAGGCTCGCACGCAATCATGAAGAGCGGAATGCCCGCTTTGGCGTATTGTCGAGCCAGCCGCAGCGGGTCCTCGCCGTCGGGCGAGCCGTCGTGGAAGCCGTCGCCGTACTCGCCGATACCGTGTGGTGGGGCGTCGGCGATCAAGACGGCAAGCTTGGTGGCGTGGGGCCGCCAGTCTAAGTCCAGGGCAGCCTTCATGGCGGCTGTGACGGCCTCCGGGCCGTCTCCGCCTCCGGAAGCGTAGAGGGTCTTGAGATTCTCTTTGACCTTTTCGACCTCGGTGTGGAAGCCAAAGTTCTTGACAATGTACGAATGATCCTGGGGCGGATGGTCGCGGTAGGCGATGAGACCGATGCGCAGTGCTCCTGGGCCGCTGAGCTGCTCGGAATGGATGATGTTCTCGCAGATGGTCTCGATGTTCTTGGTTGCGGAGTTAATGTAGCTGCCCATCGAGCCTGTTGCGTCCATGATGAAGACGAGATCCATGGAGCGGCCAGGCTCGTTCCAGATCGAATCGCTGGAGCTGGAGGCATGAGCATTGCTCGCATCCTGGACGCTCAGATGTTGCGCTG